CCATAAACCTGAGAAGTAGATCATAATCATAAAGTATGTGTGCTGGAGCAGACTGCAACTCTTCTCTTGAAAGCGAATTACTATGCAGCCAGCTATCCCTTTCAGGATAAGCTGAGAACTGAGTTATCATTCTTCCCTGAAGTTTGTCTGCAGAAGAGTTTTTAAGTTAACAAAAGCAACTCAATTAATAAAGGTGCCTGTAGGGTTATTAAGCACTGCCATGTAAAAGGTCATCTTTGTTATTGTGCAGATCTTGGACAGGTTTTACAATTCAAGTCACAATTGGTCAGGGACAGCAAATATGTTTCCAATTGCAAACACCTATTGATAGCTAAAATTGAGTCTAATAGATAAGGAGCAATTATTGCGATGTACAGCTGAGTAATATACTTAAAGGGGTAATTGATATTTACAACTTTCAGTCAGCCTTTCAGGTAATTCTGTTTTGATTTTATTCCAGCTTCTTATATCTTGCACCTGGAAGTGCACCCAAGTGCCATCATAGACAGGTCTCAACTGGCTACCTTGGTCAGAAGGTGAGATGGAGAAAAATTATGGGCTGACTTTCATTAGCTGGAAAGGAAATTAGAAGTATTCAGCAAGAAAAGATTGAAATAAAAAATTAAAGCCTATGAGAGGAGCAATTTTAAACTGAATTTTAGCAAGACTGAGGTTTTTATAGATGTGGTGCATTTATCTCCTCCTTCCAAATTTGCAGTGTGCATACTGCCATTGCTGTCTCCAGTTGGAAAAAACGAACCTTCAAAAGGGAATCCTCCAACTGCAAATTTAGCCCCTGAGAGTGACTGCTTCATGGAACAGTTTCTTTCTGAATTAAACCTCCTGGCTCTACATTGTAGAAAATGACTCTTGGTTGTCAAGTATCTTCTGGAAAACTTCCTTCCACCTGCTGTTTATTACACTGTGAAAATGTTGAGAAAGTTCTCATATAAAATTGATGCCTGTGAACTCACATTTGGCATGCTGCAGCACTAAAACAAATTCATTCACAGGCATTAAATACACTCAGATAAGGAATATAAGTGGTGCACTGTATGCCATATTAATCAGATGGAAGAGACATGATTAAAAGAAGAGAGATGGTTAAAGAAGTGATGCAAGGCTGGCCTAGCACTGTAAGACAGAAGAAAAGTTTCTTAAAAAAAAAAAAAAAAAAAAAAAAAAAGCCACACCACTGCTAATCTGGGCAAAATGGAATATTATGTACTCTGAAGTTGTTCATACTCTTCTGGAAATTCTACTCCAGTGTATCTTCGTGCATGTTTGATTTCAAATGAACAGAATTCTTATCACAGTGATGGGGAAAAAAAAAACTAAAAAATCAGTAATCAGAATCGAGCTCTTTCTTGTTCCTGGAGGATTTTTTGTGTTTCGTAGATACCAGACACACAGTTTATGTAATACAAATCAGAGAAAGTAAACAGGCATTTTGAATTCCTTGGGACATTTCTACTGCTTTGAGTGGTTCATATGCTAATGAAATAAGGCATTAGTCAACTGCAGCTAAGAAAAACAAGGCTCCTTTTTGTAAGTCAAAACAAAATGAACATAATGAACAGAAATGACTGTGATTTTACTCTGAAATTATTTAGAAATCATGTTGTGGAATTCTGTTTGGATGGTCACTGCTGGTATCAACAATGTCAGAGGTGAATTTACACTTCACCTCTCTTTTATTTATCAAATCTGTAGGCGTTTTCCCCCACACAATCTGTGCTGTAGTTAAAAAAAGCAGTGTGTTCTTGCATGTGATAGTTTGGGTAGACAGTTGTTTATTGAGCTCTGCAGCTTTTCTACAAAGAGTTCAAAACATGAAGTGAAATTCTTTAAAACATGAAAATCTCTGCACATACATTTTCTTTCACACTTACTTTTTTATTACACTGTGTTTTTTACAAAGGCTACCTTTATAAGTCTTTGGTCTTATAAGAAGGGTTACCCTTCTTAAAGACCATTCATCCTCTGAGTTACATTCGGCACTGGGAGTTTAGAAGTGAAACACAACACATACAGACAACATGGCGAAATGAAAGAAAGCAATATTTTTTGAAAGAATAAGCCACTTGCTGGCTTTATTAAGGAATGAGATCAGAAACTACGTAGGTTCTTTATATAGATTATGTATCTAGGTTATCAGGGTTTTTTCATTTACATTTTTGCCTCACTTAGCTACATGAATTACTAAGTCCATCCCAATAGAAAAGCATTGCTAATGAATCATTATGGATAAGTGGAGCTCTTTAAGACCCTGGATTTGATTCTTTTGGAGGTCTGCTAAGAGAGCTTGGCATCAGTTTTGGCATTGATGCCTTCCTTTGCCATTGTTTAGGCAATGAGTGGATTAGTACAAATCCCCTTTGAAATAAATGAAAAACATTCAGTAACAAGTTTGCTTTCCACACATTGTTCTATAAGCATTGTTGGAAGATCTTCCTGTAGAAGGCCTATCTACGTAGATTAAACTGTCAGCCATTAATCCATGAAGTCATCGGATGGTTTGGTGACTAATAAAAAAAAATACTAGGGAAAAAAGCACATACATAGTTGATTTTGAATATTATTTAGTCAAGCATATAATGTTCTGATTTTAATGCATCAGACTATATTCTTCTAGATGTGAAGTGTATATTTCTGTTAATTGTTGATTTAGGTGTTATAAGACTAAAAAATGGATTTTCAGAGAAAATCCTTCTTTTTGATTGTACGGCTATTAGTAATGAGAGTGATTTTATACTTGCTACAGTTTTGTAGCTTTATAAACCCTGCTTTTGTATGCGTTCCCACACACATACCCACATGCATATCCAAGACTGACCTTTGTAGCTATGAATATTTGGCATAGAGATGTTTTATGACTGGATTATTCATTTTCTATAAACGAAAAAGTTCATTTTAGATAAACGTCTAATTTGCAAATGGGAGACTTTATTATTATTATTCTCCATAGGAGTAAGATTAATAACTTTAAAATTTGATATTTTTCCCCCAGTACATTTAAAATGAAAGTAAATTTTAAAAGGCCATACTTTCATCTCACTTACTGGGCTTTTACCAGCTGCAAAATACCATCAGTGGAAAACGTATTGCAATCTGGGAACATAATAACATTATAAAGACTAAGCTTTCTCATGGACACAAAAAGGAGAGTGAGAGGAAACAAGAACAAACTGATAAATTGAAGTAAATTGTCTTGCTGTTCCACTATATGACATGCATTTGGCAGAATGTAATATCAATGATTTTTTAAAAACGGTACAAAATTTGTGAAAAAGTGAAAAAAAAAGTAAGTGGATATGTTATACAAATATACATAAGTTTTTATAGAACTGTCTCTTTGCACTTGAATATCATGCTCATGTTCCTATGTATGAGCTTTGCTCCAAAAGTAATGCGTCCTATATTTTATTATTATTTATACAACACCATAGATGGATGTTAACAGTATAGTAGTAGAGGATGAATCTTCCTATCAATACTCCATCACATTCTGCTGCCAAATGACAGGTGGCTGCAGAGGGGCAATATGACAAAATGGTGCCTGATATGGAAGTGTGTAAGCAAAAACAAAGGCATGTCATTGAATTCCTCCATCTGGAAAATAGAACCCACTGGCATTCATCAATACTTGCTGAATGTTTATGGAGATCAAACACTGGATGTAAGCATAGTAAGGTTGTGGGTGCTATTTCAGCAGCGACAGCAGCAACAGTTGGTCATCTTCACTGATGAGGATTATTATGAGCGTGGCATGCAGGCCCTTTTTCATCACTGGTGAAAATGCATAGCTAAAGGAGGTTACTATGGTGAAAAGCAGTTTAGTAGCTGAGAATTTGCCTTGTCAAACAATGCTGTTGGGCTCTTTGTATCTGTTCTCATTTCACTGGCAATAAATAGGAGGCATTATTTTTGGAGCAAACTACAGAGAGAGAGAAAAAGGGAGAGAGAGAGAGAGAAGCATGTATGCACATCAGTGCTATGTGTGTTTATAAATATTTTACATTACAACAACCATAATGTTGAACTTAGTCCTCTAAAATTGGCTGAAGTACAGAATTCTGGAAGGTGAGAGAACATTACAAGAAAGCACTGGTGTGTGTTCATTCTGCTCCTATTATCTTTTTACTCAGCATCTGGCTGCTCTCAAATACAGGAAATTGGTATATACTAGTAACGACCCAGCACTGATGTTCTCACATTCTCACTGTAAATAATTTTGTATTTTTAATACCGCAAAGATCCTGTCTGATAATAGTAAACACATATTACTCACTGCCTGCACTCTCCAAAGTCTGTCTTGCAATGGGATGAGTGCTTCAGAGTGGACGTGTTACATTTCAGTTATTGAAAACTAGACCCTTACTTACATAGGATTTCGAATAAGAACTTTTTTGAAGTCATTCACTCTGTGATACTGATTTACCTGTGTATCAGGGATAGGTACAAGTTATTTTATGAAAGTATAGGTCTTGCCCTTTCTTTTCATTGCAGTTCTTGCCACCAGAACATATCACCACATGATCATGACATGCTATCACTCTTCCTTATAAAATGGGCTTTCAGCAAGACTTCCTTCATTTTCCCTGGCAGCAGATGAATATTGTTTTAGCAGTTTATCCATAAAATACCCTTATCCTTTGTTTGTTGTCTTGACTGCTTACAAGATTGCTTGTTGGCCTCAGACTGACACTGTTCATTATTTAAAATAGTTAATGCTGTTATCTCTGAGATCAGGTTCACTGAGTTTTATTCAGACAACTGCATGATTGAGTGCCATCTTTCCAGATTGTCTTCTACTGTTTTTTCATCCCTCCCTTGGCATTTCCCTCCCTCCTCTTCCCCCCCTCCCCCCCCCTAAAACCACCATTCATTTATATCTGCTGTGTTCTCTGAGTTCATTTCTTGCTTGGGTAAAAAATTTCAAAAATTTTCTTATGTCATTAATAATGTTATTTTCAAACTGATTCATGAAGTCAGCTTTATATGGACAATATTCCTCCAGCTCAGATAGTTTGGAAACATCTTTTATATTTCAGTAAGGTGATTCAGTAGACCTAACTAATTTCCAATTCTTTATTTATTCATCAGTAAAAATAGATTGCATGTAAGTGTATATACATTTCCATAAAAGCAAATGTACCCTTTTTGCATGTATGAAACTCTTAATAAATTGCATGTTCTGCAACAGCAATTTTTCCAGGATCTATAAGCAATCATTAAGGTGAATAAGTCTTGAGGTAGAACATAAAAAATTGTATACACGAGACACTTCATCTGAATTTAAGCTCTCTGTTAGAAACTGTAAATACTTAGAATCACAGAATCATAGAATTCTTAGAGTTGAAAAGGACCTTTAAAGTTCATCTAGTCCAGTTCTCCTGCATTGAATAGGGACATCCACAGCTAGATCGTGTTGCTCAGATCCTGGTCCAGCCTCACCTTGAAAGTCTCCAGGGACTAGGCATCAATTGGACAGTCTATTCCAGTGCCTCACCACCCTCAACGTAAAAAAGTTTTTCCTTCCATCTAACCTAACTCTCCACTCTCTAAGTTTGAAACCATTTCCCCTTATTCTATCACCAGAGTCCCTGCAAAAGAGTCTGCCTCTTTCTTCCCTGTAGCTCCCCTTCAGATACTGAAAGGCTGCTATCAGGTCACCTCGCAGACTTCTCCAGGCTGAACAGCCCTGGCTCTCTCAGCCTGTCCTCATAGGAGAGGTGTTCCATCCCTTGGATCTTGGATCATTGTTGTGACCCTTATCTGAACACACTCCAACAGGTCCATGTCTCTTCTATGCAGAGGACTTCATATGTGGACACAGTACTCCAGGTGAGTCCTCACCAGTGCAAAGTAGAGGGGCAGGATCACTTCCCTTGCCCTCATCTGCACATTTCTTTTGACGCAGACCAGGGTACCATTATCTTTCTGGGCTGCAAAAGCACATTGCTGGCCCATGTCCAGCTTCCCATACACCGTTTCTCCCAGGTCTTTTTCAGCAGAGCTGTACTCAATCCTTTCATCCTCAAGCTTGTACTGGTACTTACATACCTAATAGCATTATTCTATATACCTTTTTCCCTTCCCTTTTAAGCCTGATTCAACACAACCATGCCATCTTCATTTAGTGCTGCAAGTATTTCATTTTTCATAAAGAGACCTTTCTAAGTAACTTGCATACTCTTTAAAGGTAGCAAAATGAGTGGTAATTACCATGTAGATTTACAAACATTAGTAGGAATCTCCTAATCTGTATGATAAACACTTATCACACACACATACACAAATATATTCATATGTAGTTAGCAATGATCTTGAACAACATGAAATAGTCTTGAACAACAAGAGATCACTGTTTTTTCCATGTTAAACTTGAATATTATGTCACTCCAGTGCAGGTAACGTGCTCAGGTAAAAGAAGAATATACTTTTATGTGAATCAAGTTGAATTGGTCTTCCTGCTTTCTATACTTCAGAATAAGTAAACCGACACTCAGTCCAGCTATTCATTCCTGTGCTCCAGATAAAATAAAATTTTTCAATTTTGTTACAGAATCACAAATAGCTGAGGTTAGGAAAGAGCTCTTGAGAAAATCTTATCCAAACCGCTGCTAAAAAGTTGGAGTTGTTAGTCAATCACATTTTACCACTGCATTAATTTTGTGTCAGAATACAGTATGTGACCAGGTTGAATATCTCATAAGATTGTAAGTACATTACCTAAATTATGTTGCTTGTATTAATCATGTTTACCATCTCATCTTTCCAAAGTCCACGTTGTCCAATCTTCATTTTAGCATAACATGCTCATCGTGTCTGGGTATGAACTCAAGAAAACGAACTCATACTTACATTAATATTACTTTTTAGTATTTAAAATATTGTTTGAGCATTGCATCGCTTCCTGGAAATATTAAATGTGTAAAATTCAAATTTGCTTCCTATTATTATTATTATTATTATTATTATTATTATTATTATTGAATTTTAGGGTTAAATTTTCAACTAAACTGACTTAAAATGGCTTATTTTTTTTAAGTTCCCACTTAAATATGTGGATGCACATTCAGCAGCAACTCTGAGCAGGGTTGCAGTCTTCTGTATGCAGATACTAAAGCCTTGTTTCTTGGTGGAGAATGTGGGCAACGGTTGTTTTTTAGCTTTTTAGAATGAGCCAGTGATTTTGTTGATCACATCTGTTGGGATGTGACGATGGTCATCTTGCCACTTTATACCTAGGAACTGAATTTCCTGTCTCAAATAAATGTTTAAGCTTTCAGGGTCTTTCAGGTGTTCAGGAATTAAGTTCCATGACACCGAAGATGTCCATCTCTCTAGAGTTGATCAGGGAAAGGAGATTTAACTCCTGGCAAAGTCCCCTGGGGAATGTAGTTCTTCTTCTCTTCTGGGCAGGTACCCAGGACTTGAGCATTAACAGTTAAACTCCCAGTGTCCCACATGATATTATGAGGTGGAATACCAAAAACCAAAAATCACAAAACCATGACAATGACACACTTCCTTAGCTCTGACTTTTTACAGACAGTTCAGGCCGCATCACTGTGAGGTAAACTGAGGGGCTAAAAATGTTATCTAACTTTTTCTTCATCTTGTCAAAAAGAGATCATGTTCTTCCATTCCCTAACAGTAATATCCATAGAATACTTCAAAAAGTGAAAATATCAACTTTGTATCTATCTGCAAATTGCACAAGAGAAATGTTAGCCACTTGAAAAAATTGTATGCAGAACTTTTCCTATTCTGTAATTTCTGCCTCTTTTGAGTTATATACTGTTAATTTTTGACAGCTTGCCAGAACATGAAGAAAATAATTTTTCAACATCTGTCTGTTTAGAATTTTGTTTTCTTGTATCAAGTCAACATAGAATCAACTAAAAGAGCTAGTCTCGCTAATGTCTGAAAATACAAGAGATAGTATTGACATATTAGATTTTTTCTGGTTGAAGGAATACAGAATCTCTCAGATGTGATCCACGGGTAATATGCATCTTACTTAGTATGTGTACCTAGAGGAAATCAGTTTGTTTTCAAACTCCCTTTCCTGGAACATGCTAGACTTCCTGTGTATCCATATATCCCAGCTGCAAGGCTCAGCAGATGGGCTGAGAATTGGGTGAGCATGGTCACTTACTTAATAACATCTTTGCTCTCTTAGAAACAGCTTCTTCATAGCAGAAAGGAAACACAGTGGTGAGGGATGTAGTAAAAGACTTACTGAAAACCTGGACCTCTGGATAGGCAGGAAAGACAGGTTCCTAATAAGTGCTATCACTAAAACATCATTAAAAAATGTCACCATATGAAGGAGTGCAAATTCAGGGCTTGAGGAGATAAGGAAGAACTAATCGTTTTCTATTTGTTTTATCCCTGTTTTGAAAATTTTAGGATACTTCTTTAGATTTAAATTGTCCCATCCTAAAAAAAGTTAATAATCACCAACTGTTATTGAAGCATTTAACTCTAATTAACTGCTCATTAATGCTCAGTTAGGATGCCACTCCACATATACCCAATAGGAAGAAATAAATGAGATGAACAATTGATATTCTAGACTACTATATGGATTTTTTTTCCTTGAAGCTGTTTTCAGCATCAAGAATGTCTCATCTGAGTATGTCAGAAATCTCCTTGCTGTCCTTCTTTATAGATTAGGATAAATCTTTTCTAATATTTCTGGTAAATGTGTTCTTAAATCAGGATATTCTCATTTGAAGAATTAATCACATATTTGAAAATTAATTTTAAACTGAAAAATAATTTAGGATGACAATTAAATGTTCTCTTAATGGAAGGATTACTGCACCAATTGCTATTCTTTGTGTTTTATGGACAGAAAACAAAAAGTATACCAGTGCACACAACATGTGGAATAAACAGGAAGATCTGGAGATCTATGTTTGGTTGCAGGGCCATGATATCATTGCAGTCATGAAGGCATGGTGAAACAACTCACATGACTGGAACGCTGTTGTGGATGATTATGTTCTTTCTCAAATGACACAGCAGTAAGCTGAGGCATTAGCATTGTTCTTTGTGAGAGAGAACAACTGGAATGTATCAAGTTATGCTGAGGAATGAATGAGCGCAGAGCTTATGGGTGAGAATTAAGGGGCAGACTAATATGGCTGACACTGCTGTGGTTATTTAGTAAAGGCCACCTGGCAAGGAGAAAGAAGTTGGTGAGGCCTTCTTAAGATATAGCAGAAAGTAGCCTCACAGTCACAGGCACTGGTTCTCATTGGTGGCTTCAGACACCCTGCTATTTGCTGGAAAAGCAACACTGCCAAGAACACACAGTCCAAGAGTTTCCTGCAAAGTATCAGTATAACTTTCTGACACAGGTGGTAGAGGAGTAGACAAGGAGAGATGTGATGCAGAACTTTATTGGTTGTAGATGTGGTTGTCATCATGCTTGACAAACCAGTCAACTGCCTACCACATCATCCTGGTAGTAAAGCTTAGTAAGTGTGACATAGATGAGGGAGACTGAGGTGGACTGAAAGCTGGCTGACTGGTAGAACTCACTCTGCTCAGTGGCACAGAGTCTAGTTGCAGTACTGTACCTGGTGATGTTCCCCAGAGGTTTTCACTGCATCCAGTCTTGTTCATCTTCTTCATCAATGACCTGGAGAAGGGATAGAGTCCATCCTCAGTCATCCTCATTGATAATATAAAGCTGGGAGGAGTGGTTGACACACCACGAGGCTGTGCTACTATTCAGTAAGACCTGAACAGGCTTGTGAGTTGGGTGGAGAGGAATCTGATGAAGCTCAATAAAATCAAGAGTATAGTCCTACACCTGGGGAGGAATATCTGCATGACTTAGTACAGATTAGGCAATAACCTGTTGGAAGGGAGCTCTGCAGGTAAGGATCTGGGTCTCTTGCTGGACAGCAAGTTTACCATGAGCTAGCAGCATGCATTTGCAGCCAAGGCCAATAGTAACATGGGGAGCATTAAAAAGTGTGTCCCACAGACTGAGGGAGGGGGTACTCCCACTCTGCCCTGTTGAGGCCCCTACTGGAATACTGTGTCCAGTTCTGGGCTCCCACATTCAGAAAAGACAGAGATATTCCAGAAGGAGCCCATAGGAGGGCTGCAAAGGTGATTAAAGGCCTGAAGCGTCTCCCTTATGAGGAAAGGTTGAGAGACCTGAGACTGTTCAACCTGGAGAAGACTGAGATGGGATCTTATTGCTGTTTATATATAAAGTGTAGGAGTCAAACGAATGTAGCCAGGCTCTTATGCCCAGCAACAAAACAAGGGGTAATGGGCACAAATGGGAACACATGATGTTCCATACAAAGATGAGGAAGACCTTACTGTGAGGGTGACGGAGCTCTGGAACAGGCTGCCCAGAGAGGTTGTGGAGTAATCTTCTCTGGAGACATTCAGTACCCACCTGGATGCTTCCCGGTGCAACCTATGGTAGAAAGCCTGCTTTAGCAGGGGGTTAGATAGATGATCCATAGAGTTTCCTTCCAACCCCTATGATTCTATAATTCTGAGAAAGTTTTTTCTGAGAATAAGGACTAAAGTTACACTGCTCATTTAATTCTTCTGCTACAGAATTTGGCATTATCTGTAAGTGTCATTACAAAATTTCCAGCTCCAGTGATTTTACTGTGAATTTTCACAATGAATAGTGTTTTATATCAAGTCACAGATACTGGAATCAAATCAAATTTTACTCATAAAAGTAAGTTTCTATCTCTCATGTTGGCAAATAAGAGCTTGTAAGCTGATGAGAGGAAAAAGCATGGATTACTAGCCTGCGTGAGGAGAAGATGAGCTTTTGTCATTGTGTTCATAATTTTCAAACTAATCTCATGAGTACTATACATATACTTGTCATGGTATACAAAGTTAGAGGGATTCGTCTAATACTGAGGTGATATTTACAGACACTATTTTGCTTTATTCACTGTTAACTATGTCTTCGGGACTCTTCATGAAGATCACTTGATTAAATTTTGCACTGGTTCAAAGAGAAAGGCTTATGTCCTGAATTCTTAAAAATCATGAAGCTTGAATTCTTCATCCTGCTTGAAATCTTTTGGCTCCATCACTGTTTTATAGGAAAAAGGCTATAATTAGGCCACATTAACCTAATTTATGGACACACAGCTACATGAATCCCAATATATGATACAGACGTTTCACTGTTAAATTACATATGCTGTATGTACAAATGAAATACATGTAATGTTTTATGTGTATGTAATCCATCTGTATTTGCCTAAGTAGCTATGGAGACACATACTAATACGTCTTATCAAATGCTCAAAAACTACTAGAATGTGTGTGCAGGAAGCAGGGAGTATAAAAACCTCATACTCAGGAATATTAGTATTATTAAACTGTTTGGATTGTTTTTGTTGTTTAGTTTATGGAAGTTATTTAAGTCAGTGATTATTAAATATGTTCTCCCTTGAACTGGAGTTTAACAAAGAATTTCTCAATATTCATCAATGTTACTGTCAAGTCATTTGATTGAATTAAGATTAAATAATAAATTAAATTCACAACGTATTTTTACCTGTTGACTTTGCAGAGCACACCATCAGGTCATTACAATAATTAAAATGCATATAGTAATTTCTGGCACATCTAGTTTATAAATGAGAATTCTGACAGAGCATTCATTCAAAATGCTTATTCTGTGATGTGTACCGTACATGGAGTCTGAGAGATTTTACAGATGCAAATAGAAAGGCCCTTCTCTGTTCCCTCATGATTTTCTTGTCACCTTCCATGAAAACTCTACACACCCTGTTTTAAGTACCTTGCTAGCATTTAGTGGGGCTAGGCCTTCTTGCAATAATTTCCATAATAAGGACAAATTTTCTAACCATATGGACCTTTCCAACATGCTGAAAACACATTTTACAAGGACTATTAATCAGTCGAGTCTGTTGTGATTAGATAATTAATACAAGAAAAAGTACTTGATAAAAGAGTGGATTTTAAATTTTTAATGATATATCATGAATTAGCTAGTAGAAATTAATTAGGAGATCAGCTTCTTAGTGTCCATATTTTGTGATGAAAAGATTACCAGTCCAAAGGTTTTCAGTGCCTTTTCAGAACATATAAGCGTGTAATTTCCTGGTCCTAATCTGAAGCATAATAAAATGTTTTCATGGGGTCTCAAACTAAAACGGTGTTAATACTTACAACAACAACAAAAAAAGTATCATGATGGTACATTTTCATATCTGCAGAAATATTTCAATTCTACAGATTTAGATTTCTTCTTTTCCTCATAACTATTTGAAATTCATTTGTCTATGAATCACTGCATTTGAATTCCAATGGTTTGAGTTAGCTACACTGCTACAGACCTGGAGGATAGTGTGAACTGCGCTTCTCTTGGCATTTTAGCTATGCAACTCCTCTGACAGAAACCTGGATTTGACAGAGTAATTGCCTATCCATACAGTCATGGGACTGAGTTATCTGCCCAAAGTTAAGGACAAATGGAAGTGCCTCTAAGACCTCCTGATTTCCAAAGCATTTTCAATTTTGCACTCTGAGGTATAAAAGTGTGCACTTGCTGCATTTTTGCTTTGTCTGACCTATTTACCTCTTTGGAAATTGTACAGATTTTTTAATATAAAAATACAAAGTGTGGAAGCTATTAAAAAAACAACATCTACATTATACACTGTAAGATGCTTTTTTATGACACCAAATAGTGTGATTTATTATTCCACAATCTAACATTCATTGCCATAATTTCTGGATTGACCACTTATCACTTTATAAACCTAAGTGTAATGTCATGGTTTATTTATTCATTTTAAATAGTACCATTTGTAACTCAAATTCTTGTTTCTGCAGCTGAAACAAAATCACGACCTGGAACAGGCTGAAAGCTCACAGTAGACAGTGAAGAGAAAGGATTAGACACTTATTATGTCTGCTTTAGAAGACAGTAGAGATGGTTCCACAAAGGTCCTGCATGATGCACAGCGCAGACTGCAGGGGCATTTCAGTGTCAGATGTGCTCAAGAAGCACATCATGCCCATCTTGTATGCATTATTCCTAAACTACATTGCTGTCTCTATACTTAGATTGTATATTCCTGAACCTTACATCTCAAATTTAAGTCAAAATTATTGAACTATGTGAATTGCTGAGTAACCAGGCATAGAAGACATACACACATGGATGAAAAGGCATATAGCTTCTGCAAGGTCTGTAGCTCATCTCAGGAAGAAGTTAGATTCTTTGTTTTGTTCTCTATGGTACATTGTAGCCTGAGTCTTGATTAAAGCACACAATTTTCTTGACATGATAATATGACAATAACAATGCATCTTTCCATGTAAATTATGAATAAAAAGAAACGACAAGTCCTCTGGACTCACTCCAACAGCTCCTTGTTCTTATCACTCAGGTTTTACTCTTTAGACATTATATTTACAAGTGATATGATAGCATAATTTACTCTTCTCTATTGCTCCTGCTGGAGAGTTCGTGGGACCTGACCGGTCCTTCCAAGGACTTTCACAGACCAAGGAGCTTCCAGGGTTTCATGTCTCTTTGCCTGCTAAGATACATTGTCCCTACACTACTCCAGACTCCGCAGTGAGTGTTACCTTTCCTCCAGTCAGAAGCACAATCCTGCTGGGGCTTGCACTGCAGAAAACTTGCCTTTGACAATTTATTTCCTACAGTTACTTAAGCATCTGTAATTGCTGCAACCTATCATTGTGACCTATCATTACCTTTCAACAGTCAAGTGAAGTTTCCAGATTTTGGGGAACATAAGAAATCTTACAAGGTTTCCTTTTAAAATATACTCTGTCAAAACAAATGCTGATGAAAAGTCATAAAATTAAAAAGTTGATTTTAAGACTTTGGTTAAGATGTCAGAGTAAGATAAACTTTAAATGCTAATTTCTTGGTCTTCATACAAGAAAGGTAGTTATACCAGTAACTTACCTGTCTCATTAATGCTATTGTTCATCTAATACTCAATATATCTTCAGTTCTCCATAATCTCAGGAGAAATCTCTGATTTAAGTGAGCTTGCTTTGAAATTCATTTGGCAGGATAAAATCCTAGATTTATTTATTTTTTTCTAAATCTCCGGTGTGTTCTTAAAATAAGATCTAAAACTAACAGAACAGGGAGCACAATCATTTTGGAGATTGTAAAAATGTCTCAGATCACTTAGGTTACAGCAAATATTCATTTGTAATTTTATTTCATTAATTAAAATGACTAGGAATACAGTAAAATAAATTTTGCAGAGAATTTGGACTCCATTCAATTTCAGTGAAAACAACAAAAATCAAACATATTGATTGAAGTGAGTTTTTGAATAATGCAGTTTTTCATTTAAAATTTTGATTGACAGTAACCTTCACATTTGCTACTGAATGTGTTCGTATCCTTTCAAAATGAAAGCTGAGCTACATGTCTTAACAGGAATCTTGACAAATAACATACAGTTAGATGTTGCTTAACATTGAGTAACCATGCCCTTGTCCATCACTAATCTGCTTTTGCAATGTTGCATGACTGCCTGGGAAAACATGAGAGCACAAGGCACACCCAAGAAAGAAATGGAAACCCAGTAAGCAAATAAGACTGCTAATCGTTGTAAAAGACCAAATTTAGAAAGCCTAATAATTATTTAGACTCATCAAAGGAAATCCCAGAGATTCTTTTCTTGGGGTGTGGGAGATAGAGAGGAAGGGAAAACACAACACGGTAAAAAGACTCGGAAGCTAACTTGTACATAATTATTCACTTTGCAGCATAAATTACACTAGGAAACAGAGAAGTCCAATAGATCGCCACGTCCAAGTCACTGACCAAAAAAGTACTTGATGAATTTCAAAGAAGAGTCATTGTGCAGACACCTTGAACATCATAAACTGGAAGAACTAAACCCATGCATGCTCACATAGATTAGCTTAGAAGAGGCTCTAAGTCTCCCTGTTACCTGTCTCCTCAGGCCTACTGCAGTCAGAAACAGCTGAGCTATGAACATTCTATTAATGTCCTTCACACTGAGAGCTGAGAAGGAGCTGCTTCTAGAGTTGGATTGGTGGTGCAAATCAAATTCTGCCTTCAAGGTTGTGAAAAGGAGGGTTAAGAAAATTTTAAAATGAGGAGTATGTCTCACTGAAATAATACAAAATATCACACTTTTCATTATACTTCCCAAAAACTTAAGGATAAGAAATATGACTAATTTAATATACACAATGACTATCCAAAGTTCCTGATTTGGGTTAATGTTTAAAACAAGCCTCCACAAAGCTTGGAATCTACCTTAATATAGAATCATAAAATCATAGAATTACTTAGGTTGGAAAAGACCTTCAAAATCATCAAGTCCAACCATCAACCTGACCTACCAAATCCCATCACTAAATCATGTCCCTTAGTGTTAAGTCCACATCTCAAATTCCTCCAGGGAAAGGCACTTCACCACCCCCTGGGCAGCCCATTCCAATGCTTGGTTACCCTCTCCATGAAGAAATTCTTCCTAATGTCCAATATGAACCTTGTCTAGTGTAACTTGAGGCCATTTATTTATATCCTATCATTTGTCACCTGAGAAAAGAAAACAACGTTCACTTTGGTGCAACCTCTTTTTAGGTATCTGTAGAGAGAAATAAGGTCTCCCCTCAGCCTCTTTTTCTTCAGACTAAACAACCACAAATCTGGTGGCCTTCTGTGATGGAGTGATGGCTTTGGTGAGTGGGGGAAGGGCAACAGATGTAATCTACCTGAACTTCTGCAAAATCTTTGATATGATCCCTCATTATATCTTTTTCTCTAAATTGGAGAGGCGTGGATTTGAAGGATGGATTACAGAATCACAGAATCACAGAATTGTAGGGGTTGGAAGGGACCTCCAGAGATCATCATGTCCAACCCCCCTGCCAAAGCAGGTTCCCTACAGCAGGTCGCACAGGTAGGCATCCAGGCAGGTCTTGAACATCTCCAGAGAAGGAGACTCCACCATCTCCCTGGGCAGCCTGTTCCAGTGCTCCGTCACCTCACTGTAAAGAAGTTCTTGTGCATATTTGTGCGGAACTTCCTATGCTGCAGTTTCCGGCCATTTCCCCTTGTCCTGTCAAATTGTTCAGTGGATTAGGAATTGGCTGGCTGGACACAGTCAAAGGGTTGTGATCAATGGTTCTGTGTCAGGGTGAAGGCTGGCCACAAATGGTGTCCCCCAAGGGTTGGTCTTGGGACCAGTGCTCTTCAACATCTTCATCACTGACACAGACGATGGCATTGAGTGCACCCTCAGCAAGTTTGCAGATGACAGCAAGCTGAGTGGTGCAGTCGATACATTGGAAGGAAGGGAAGACATCCAGAGGGAGTTGGACAGGCTGGAGAAGTGGGCCCATGAAAACCTAATGAGGTTCAATAAGGCCAAGTTCAGGGTGCTGCACTTGGGTCGGGGCAATCCCAGGTATTTATACAGATTGGAGGAACATCTCCTGAAGAGCAGCCCTTAGAGAAGGACTTGGGGATCCTGGTATACGAGAAGCTGGACATGAGCCAGCAGTGTGCACTTGCAGCCAAGAAGGCCAATTGTGTTCTGGGCTGCATTAACAAGGGTGGCCAGCAGGGAGAGGGAGGTGATTGTACCCCTCTACTCAGCTCTTGTAAGGCCCCACCTGGAGTACTGCATCCAGGCCTGGGTCCCTTACTACAGGTAGGATGTGGAGCTCTTAGTCTTCCCCAGACTGACCCCCAGCTCTTTCAGCCTGTCCTCATAGGAGAGGTGTTCCATACCTCGGATCATTTTTGTAGCCCTCCTCTGGACATGCTCCAACAGATCCATGGATTTATAAAGCATAACTGAGAAACTTTTTTTTTCAGTGCCTATTTCTCTCCATAGATTCCACCATGATGATGAGTCTACAAACTGAACTGTAGGTAAATTTCTGTAAAAAAAATAACATTAAGTGCTAATTAGATCCTTCTCCAGCAAACCGGACTTAATTTTCTGAACTTGCTGTCCACTTTCTTTGTTATCTAGTTCTTGTGTATTTTTTCGGGGATGTTTCCTTATTTTTTTTCTGATGACATTGTACACTATATAATATTTCAGAACTCTAAGACTTATTCTGGAAAAACAGTGTAACAGAAGTTTTTAGTCAACTAGCACTATTTCAGATAGAGATTACACAGGTATGACTACTTGGTGTTCAACAGAGCAACATGGCTATTACACTTGGCTTTGAGCTGTCCAACTCTCCTGTTTGATTTACGTTTGTTAAAATTGAAAATGATGACCACCAAAAGTGCACCAATAAATGCATTATCATTGAAAGAAAATGGGAAAAATAAATTATCTGGTTTTCTCCATATATTTACAACAGTCACACAAATCTCAGGAATTCAATATTATTCAAGTCTCTGTGGCTGTGTAAAACTAAATAAATCCTGAGACCAGCAGTGTGGGTTGTTGTATTGTTGTTTTTTGTTTTATTTTCTGAAAATTAATAAGCAATATTTCTTTCTAGTTAAGCTTCTCAGAAACAAGGATCCATCTGCAGTGAATTTTCACAACAAAGTAAAAACGATGAAAAAAGTTTTAAAATGGGAAGTTGGCATTCCCTGTCTGGTTATGCTGTTACAAATCTTATACTCTATTAAAGGAAACTTCTAGAAAATGACTTCATTATTTATTTATTTATTCTTTTTTGTATCTTTGACTTTTGTTATTGATAGATTAATTAACATTTCTTTTGTTCATATTTGAGTGCTGAATTATCTTTAATTGCTATGTACATTCTTCTGTCTGCAAGAATTAATAAACCACTACTGTCAACTTTTGCACAGATACGTTCTCTTACACATGAGGTATCAAAGACTGAGAAGAGGAGAACTTTACAGTAAGTAAACTAATCAAAATGGAACCAGGAGAATTTTGGGATATTGAATAGAATGTTAAGAAAAAGAAGTTAAGAAAAAGAATTCATTTTTTCCTCCTGGGCTTGCCACTTGTGACAAAATCATGTGTTATACAACTTGATATTTTCTCTGGGACAGGAGCAGTTGTTCATACTGGAAAGAAAACAATTTTACAAATCTTCTGTTATTATGAGCAAAATATTTTACATACATTTTCTCCCAATCTACCAAAACCCACTTTTTTCTGTTTATAAAAATAATAATATACTCACATTGTTCAAAATTCTAATAAGCGTTAATAAATGTTACAGATCTGCCCAGGGCATGAGACTGTGTCCTCACTTGAAACACACACAAGAACACAAATTACACATTTGATCATAGTATTTGGTCACGGAGTTGACCAGATCAATCTATGTCCGTGACAGGGGGCGACAGGCCTCTGCCCTCCCCCCCACCCCAGTCCCACAAAAACGGGAAGGAAGGAAGGAAGGGAGGAAAAAAAAACAGTGGCAACAATCTATGGAGGAAAACTTATTTTACTATAATATCGGAATACAAAATAACCAATATATACAATTTAGTTGAAATTGAGATTAATAAATCAGACAAGATAAGAGAGAGAGAGTTCCCGGGACCGATTCAAACCTGAAAAGCTTGGAACAGCCAGGAAAGCACCCTCCAGCATCCACTGCCAGGCAGCAAGAGAGCGTCCCCCCCACCCGGAAGGGCCAGATCCAGTGACTTCTGTAATGTACAGGGATAGGTAGCTGGGATTGGGGCAGTGACACTTTAGTGCCCCGTACACTACATGATGTTTTGATGTGGAATACTAAAATCCAAAAACAAACAAACAAAAACAAAAACATAAAACCATGACATCTGTTCAGACCAAATGCAAGGATTAATAAACTGCTTTCAAAAGTCTCCTGAAGGAACAAATTTTAGTCCTTGTAAAGCCAAGCTCAAATCCATTCCCTGCTTCAAGACACTACAGAAGAGAAACAGCAAGCAGCCACTCTTCTGCATCTGTGCAGGAGAGGGTTCAGCAACCACACACTGCAAAGGGCAAGAAGTGGAACGATATTTGAAATCTGTACGATGGTCTTTTTTTTAATGTACCAGAATCAAATTAACTTTGGTAATAGTTTCTATATTATATCTTTTACTTTGAATGCCTACAGGCCATGTGAGTCTGCTAGGCTTCAGTGGCATGTCATAATCCTCCTAAGTCCAAATGCATGATTTAAGTCTTACAAAATCTGTCAGCAAGTGTAATCTTTAGAAAAAAAAGATAAATATTTAGAGAAATTACAGCAAATAATTTCGCCAGAGAAATTTTAAACTTCAAAATTAAATCATAGAATCATAATCATAGAATGGTGTGCATTAGAAAAGACCTTGAAGATCATCTAGTTCCAATCCCCATGCTAAAGGCAGGGACACCTCCCTCTACACCAGGTTGCTCAAAGCCTCATCCATCGTGACCTTGAATGCTTCTAGGGTGAGACATACACAGCTTCTCTGGACAATCTGTTCAAGGGCCTCACCACCCTCACAGTAAAGAATTTCTTCCTTATATCTACTGTAAATCTACCCTCTTACAGTACAACCATTTCCCCTCATCTTGTCACGACAAGCTCTTCTAAAAAGTCCCTCCCAGCTCTCCTGTAGGCCCCCTTCAGGTCATTAGAAGGCCATTATAAGCTCCCTCTGAAGCCTTCTCTTTTCCAGGCTGAAGAGCCCCAACTCTAGTTCTACCCTTGTAGGGTAGGTGCTCCAGCTTTCTGATCATCTTTATGGCCCTCCTCTGGACCGATTCCAATAGCTCAATGACCTTGTACTGGGGGCCCCAGAACTGGACATGTTACTCTAGGTGGCATCTCACAAGGGCAGAGAGGCAGAATCACTTCCTTCAACCTGCTGGTCACAATCCTCTTGATGCAACTCCAGATATGGTTAGGCTTCTGGGCTGCACTGCAAATTGCTAGCTCATATTGAGCCTGTCATCAACCGATACTCCCAAATTCTTCTTAGGGCTGCTGTCAAGCCGTTCTCCACCCAAACTGTATCTGTGTTTGGGATTGCCCCTGTCCAGATGTAGGACCTTGCACTTGGCCTTGTTGAACTTCATGAGGTTGACATGAACCCACTCTCAAGCATGTCCAGGTCCATTTGGATAGCATCCCTTCCTTCTAGCATGTCAACTGCACTATTCAGCTTGGTGTCATCAGCAAACTTACCGAGGGTGCACTTCATCCCACTATCCATGTCACCTACTAAGATGTTAAATAACACCAGTCCCTGCACTGATCTGTGAGGAATGCCACTTGTTATCAGTCTCCACTTTTGGAGCTCAGTTGGACATTGAGCTGTTGACCACAACTCTCTGAGTGCGGTACCCAGAAAATTCCTTATCCAGCAAGTAGCCTGTCCATCGTATCCATTTTTCTCCAATTTGGACATCAGAATGTCATGTGGGACAGTGTCAAACACTTTGTACAAGATGCTGTCAGTTGCTTTTCCTTTATCTACTGATGCTGTAACTCCATCATAAAAGGCCACCAAAAGGCAAGTCAAGCATGGACAACCAAACATGGAACCCTTGTTGTTTACCACCAATCACCTCATCTTTATTTTCCATATGCCTCTGTAGGACCTTCAGGAGAATCTGCTCCATGACCTTGCCAGGCACAGAGATAAGATTGACTGGTAGCTCCCTGGATCTTCTTTTTTTCACTTCCTGAAAGTGGGGCTATGTTTTCCCTTTTCCAGAGTTACCTCTTAAGAAAAAAAATCTTGTTAAAATACTTGTTATACTAGTTTTGTTGTTGTTTTCATTTTAGAATCTCTTTGAGTCTGGCAGTTAATCAACAGCAAAAAGATCTTGACAAGTCCACACTAGACTATTTTTCTGCCTGACTTTTTGGTCCAGCTACCAAAAATAAAGACAACGATAAATGACCTATTCATAGCTATAAGCTGAATGTATAGCTGTTGTATCTGCTGACAACTCCTCCTTTATTCCTGCCTCCATCATCCTCCTCACAACAGCAGAAGGGAGCACTTAGCTCCTGTAATCTGAGCAAGTCTTGTTGTTAGTGGTGCAGCAGGGAGCTACCATTATCTTTTATTTATCAGATATCTGGCTGACACATAGGATAATGTGCTGGATTTTGGCCTTCCATAACATGTTTGAGGCATTTCTGTAAATTACTCTATGATGTGCTTCACTGCTTCCTGATAAGTGACCAGATAGAAAGCTGATTGAGGAATGTCTTGAACATCATTTCTCTGATCTTATATTTTTCAGTCCTCTTTTTCAAGACAGCTCAGCCTTTATAGTCTCCAGTGCACTGGTTAGAATCATAGAATCATTGAATCAGAATGGCTTGGGTTGAAAGGAAACTCAAGGATCAGCAAGTTCTAAGACTCCTGCCACATGCAGGGTTGCCAACCACTGGATCAAGTATTAGATCAGGCTGCTGAGAGCCCTGTACAACCTCTCTGGGCAGCCTATTGCAACACCTCACCACGTTCTCAGCAAAAAAAAACTTTCCCCTCACATCTAATCTAAATCTCCACTCCTTTAGTTTAAAACTGCTATTCCACTTCCTTCTGAGCACAGTACAGGCTCTAGCCTGTCAGCTTAATGAGGCAGACTGAGAGGCTAAGTATTTCCTATCTCACAAATACAAATTTGCTCTTACACTAATTCACAGCCAAAGCCAATGAAAGTTTCAGTGTTACGAGTGTTTTTAAGGTGAAAAGGAACAAAGGTTTTGTAATAAACACAGGGTAATTTGTTGTTGTTGTTGTTCCAGTTCATTCTGTTTCTCTTTCAAACACCAAATTTTTCCCCCCTTTTCTCTTTACAAATGAGTACGTGCTAAAAATTTTAATTTGAATGGTACTCATACCTTCATTTGGCATCTGTCTCTAAGTCGCAATACCATACTGAGATTTGCTTTTTTGAGAATTAACTAAAAATGAAACCTTGTAATTTCATACATTTTAAACAATTAGA